ACACACACACACACACACACACACACACACACACACACACACACACACTAACTAATGCCCTCACTCACGCCAATCTCATCCATGTGTTTAAGGACTGCAATCTGTCTTGATTGAGAGGTCCAAGCTTCTGCTGCTCGATTTGAAGTCTGTTCCAACTTGTCACCTTGTAATATAAAATATCAGGATGAGCACATCTGGGCTACAGTCAGAGAGATCCCTAAGCCTTTCCAATTTCAGAAGTCTGTGGCTTTAAACTACATACTGACACAGGGTCGTTTATAGCATGCATAGCCATACTCTCGAATTTGGTAGAGGTGGGAAAGTTGCCCATCCATGTAGGATAGCAAAATAGACCCTAGGCCTGGAGAGGAGCTCTGTCAGCAACATGCTTACTGAATAAGCACAAGGATATGAATTCTGATCCCTACTGATCATGTAACAAGCAGACTGCAGTGGCAAACATCTGAATCCCAGCGTGGGGGAAGGACACAGGAGGATCCCGGGGGCTCATTGGCCAACCAGACTAGCCAAGCCAGTAAGCGGGTTCAGGTTCAGCCAAAGTAAGGTAGATAGTCATAAAAAGACATCTAATACTGGTCCCTGACCTCCACATATTCATATGTCTGGATGTATCTGCACATATGCTCACAGAGAGGGACAGGGAGGAAAAGGGAGAGAAAGAGGGAAGAGAAGGAAAGGGAGAGGGAGAGGAAGAGATAGAGGGCAAGGAAGAGAGAGAGAGAGACTCTAGCTTATCTTCAAAGAGGAGACAGTAGCTTAAGACTGGAGGAGGTTCAGACAGTTCAAGGGACTAGAGACTTTGGTGTACCAGACAGAGCTAGCTGGCTTGTAGATGTGTCTAGGTAACCCAGGGCACTAGAAGGGCAGAGTCAGAGAAGCAGATTCACTGTGAAGAAAGAGAACTGGTCCACCTGGGCACAGCCTTGCGTTTGGGCTCCATTCCCCACAGAGACCAGCATGTCTCGGAAGGTTGGGAGGCATTTCTTAGGATAACCCTTTAGCTACTGAGGAGTCACAGAAGGGATGCCAATAGTATCAGACAGAATGGGGGATTGGAAAGAGACCTCTTGATCCCTTGATCTCATTTTCTAGATTTGTACATGAAAGGCAGATAGGGCTTAGTGGGGGGTTAGTTAGACATGGGAAAAAGGAAGAAGCCATCTTACATGGATGTTGGTATTCTTTGGCTCTACACATACTGACTTCTGGGGGAGCAAGCAAGGTTGAGCTGATCATGAAGACATCAAGAGTGGTATTGTGTCTTGTGGCCCTCTTGACCCTGTTTGGGAGAGGCCACTTTCACAGCGTTGTGTACTCTTTTTGTTAGTCCAGCACAACATCCAGAAGTCAGCGCGGACACTCTGGCAGCAGCTGGTGGCGCAGAGGCGACAGACACTGGAGGATGCCTTCAAGATCGATCTCTCTGTGAAGGCTGGGGAAAGTGAAGTGAAGATGGAGGAGATTACCCCTCTCTGGGAGGAGACGATGCTCAGAGCCTGGCAGCATTACTTAGGTCTCTGTCCACTCAAATCAAAGAATGAAAACTCCTGGGTCTTATAAAACCAGATCTTCCAAGGGTCCACTCAGGGCCGGCACCCTTTCTCCTCAGGGTTTTATCCAGAGACAGGGCCTTTTCTGTTTCATACCTTTTGAGGATGTGGTTTTCATCACTGACAGATTTCTTCTTGGTTCTCACAAAGAGTGTGTGCTGTGTTTGCCTGCTGGGGAGAAGGAAGGCTGGAAGTACCAGCCAAGCTGGCAGCTTACAACAGTCTCTCAGAGGGACTGGTCACTTGTTCAGGGCTCTGGCTATGGCTTGGGAGGTTGGAGCACTAGCTCTGGCCCTGATCATCACCTGCCAGCTTTGAAATTTTGCCCCCAGCTACACAGCAGCCTGGAGCCTCAGTCTATGTGCTGTCACCTCATGAAATGAATGGCTGTCCTTGAAGTATTAGCCTAGGAGTGACCAAATATTTCACTTTCTTTTCTTTTCTTTTATTTTTTCTTATCAATTACATTTTATTAACTCTGTATCCCAGCTGTATCCCGCTCCCTCATTCCCTCCCAACCCCACCCTCCCTCCCTCATCTCCACCCTGCCCCTTGCCAAGTCCACTGATGGGGGGGGCTCCTCCCCATTTCATAGTTTCATAGTTAGCAACTCAGCAATGAGATCTTAATTTTGCTTGTAGGGGACTGACATTCAAAATTCATATCCTTTTTCAAAGTCTTTCCACATGACAAAAGTTTACAGCATCTCAAGCGATAGGTGTTTGCATGTCTGTTCTCTTATTGTCCTTATCTAACTGGCTTTCCAAATCGTCCTGGAAGATATGTGTGCATATGTCTGTCTTAGTCCATTTGTGCTTCTTGAATAAAAAGTATAAGTTTGATAGAAGTTCAGTTTTGTAGAGTTCTAAAAGGTAGCGGGTGTCTGGTAAGGGATCTGTCCGCTTTCAAGTTAGGCCTTATTGTGATCCTCCAAGAGATGAAGAGATGGAAGGACAGAGAAAGCTTTAGCCAGTTTCCTTCAGCTCCTTTATCAGGCATGAATCCATCCACAAGGACAAAGCCTCATGACTTTGTCGCTTCTCCAAAGACCCTTCCTAGCATCACAGTAGGGATATTACAACATGAATTTGGAGGGAACATACTCAACCCATAGCAGCACATTCACATCTAATTTAGAGTCACAATATCACGCCAGCGAGAAGCGCAATAAGGTGAGACACTTATGCCCATGCAGATATAAAGGGATACAATGCCAAGACTGACTCTGAAGCTCTCTTTGGATAGCAGTCATGTAGTGAACACTTTAAATGTTCCAGGTCCTTTAAGTACATTATTTTAGGCCGCTCTGATGACACCCAGTGGGTCTGAATTCTTCCATCTCCATTTCATACTATGAGAACACTGAGGTTTGGTAGCTCTGGGAAGTCACTATATGTTCTTATGTCTTAAGGAGTCAGGAGTTTGGACCGAGTCTGGGGTCCCACAGGCCATAAACATTTCTTAGTAGAAGGAACTTCTAAAGATGCCAGTGTGAGCCTGTAGCATGGGCTGCTTCTCTTTGGCAGAAGATATGTAGCATCCAGTCCTTACAGAGTCCTTTGCCAGCTGTGGAAATGGCGTGTGCTCTTCTGTCAACTTCAGTTCTGACAGTTTCCTATTTCCTCCTATAGCATCTGAGAAGAAGTCACTGGCCAGTCGCTCAAGTGTCACATACCAAAGCAAAGTGACCCGGTGGAGTGGGAGTCTGTCCTCAGCCATGAGACTGATGCCAGGGCGGCAGGCCAAGGACCCCGAGTACAGAGCAGAGGTGAGTCTAGACACCTTGTCCTGGGAGAGGTCGCAGGCATCTCCAACCCCAGTTGTGATGTCATCTCTCTGCTCTCTGCCACTGGGTATCAAATTCCACCATCTCTGAGTGCTTGAGGATGGGCATGTGGCTTTCCAGTTGGGGCTGTGTGTAGAAAAGCCAGGTCTAAAGCTGGTTTTAACTGGTAGCAAGATGAGGTGTTCTTGGCACACCTACATTTTAAAAACCAAATTCATTTTAAAACAAGGAAAACAGGTTTCAGATTTTGAAATCAACTACACTTCTTTTCACTGCTCGCCCAGTTGGAATGGGCACAGAACGAGCCACAGGCACCGATACTAAAGAATGGGCATGGAAGGTTCTGAAAGGAGGGAGTAGACGGCTCCCCCATTTCACACTGCATTGAAACTCAGCAGCCTTCAGACCCCACATCCATCACTCATCTCCACGAGCTGCCTTTGTCATTACCAGAAGGCATGGTTCTCAGGTACATATGTACACTGTGATGTCATAAGATAAGAGCATCAACTATTTGCCCTGGGGTCTGTTTAATTATTTTTAAAAATTAATTTTGATTATTACAGCTGATTACACCTCAGTGAGCAATGTAATTGATATTTTCTAATGTATCCCAAGGAACATTTTGTATAACACGCTTTTTGTTGTTGAAGGTTAAAGACTCCGTTATTGGTTTTTCCCTAAATATGCCCACATCATTAGTCCCTCCAGTGAGGAGGTCGCCATCTGGAAAAAGCAGCATGGAGATATTATTCAGGCACGAGTGCATGAAATTGGTGTTTTCGCATCTTCTGTCTCTCTTCTGGAAAGAAGAGGCTTGTAATTAAAGGAGTTGGTACTGAAGGAAGCATTATTCATTCGGTGTTGTTCCTTATCATGTCAGTGCTGACAGCTCTATAGCACTGATAAATTGTTCCTGGGAGTGAGACATATGAGGTAGAATTCGTCATTTCTCATACCTCTTTCCCTCTTCAGGAGAATATGTGCTCTTCCTGACATGGAAGCTGAGATTTGAGTCAAGGCTGGTTTCATAGATGTCACTTATTTTGATAGATATTATTTCTTCCCCCTGGGCCCATCACAGTCCCTTTCGGGATCCAATCAGGGTGTCACCATTTCTAGCATGGTGAAGGCCTTGAGAGGGGGATAGAGTCTAGAGACTTGGCACAACCAAGTCACTGGACCCCCAAGAGTCAGCTCAGGGTATTCCGGAAGCCACTTAACCGTGTCCACTGTCTGCTTGGAGAATTTTGGGTGATATTCTGGCCAGCCATTTTTCTCCACAGCAGGGGATATTGCTTTCCTGCCCACTTGACTTCAGATGTCCTTGTTTCAGCTTAGAAGCTGCCTTTCCACCTAGCATAAGAAAGATTTGTTTTGGTTGGTGGTTTCCAAGAGTTCATCCCATGGTGCCTTGGTCCATATGCTTAGGCAGAACACAATGGTAGGCGAGGATGTGAGACAAGGATAGGCTTCATCTCCTAAAGTTTCTAAAACTTCCTTAAATAATGACACCAGCTGAGGACCAAGTGCTTGACACAGTGAGCCCGTGAGGGACAGTTTGTATTCAGACTTCATCAGTAAGCAAATACCACTCTTTTTTTTTGGCAGGTGCACTGTCATGGCATATAGCGTTCATTTATATCATGGGAAGTCAGGTGAGGGTCAGGTAAACAGGAATGCTCTGTATTGTCTCCACAGTTCTAGAGACCTAAAGTTATCCCAAGATACAAAGCAAAACACCATCTACTGACATGCATGGAAAGAAAAGCATTGGGAAATGGAATAGCGCCCCGGACCCTGGGAGACACTGGGAATGCGTACAAGGGAGGTTACTTTAGGTTGGAGGCAAGAAGGAGAGAGGCTTGGCAGGCAGTGTAGGGTAGAAGCACCAGGCAGCAAAAGCCCAAGGGTACTAACAGGGACAAGACAGGGACCAGTGTCAGATAAGGTGCAAATGACCATGTTGGATGTATCCATTTGTGCAAGGTTGAACAAGGGTGTGTGGTGGGGTCTTGTTCATGCACAGGTTAAGGGTGTTGGTCCCAAGGTAAGAGGGTGTTCAGGGGATGTCCATTGTTTAAGTAGGAAAGGACACAGCAGCAGTTGTTGAAGTATCCAACATCAAAGAATGCAGGAAACTTCTGCTACCCAAGGCTGAAGACAGAGCCTGCCAAGGCCAGAGAAAATAACAGAGAAGAGAGAAAGTCTGGCATGTGAAAGGAGCGAGTACAGCTTAGAAAAATCTGTTGGCAGTGAGAAAGGTGACAGTCAGAGGACGGGAGGGGTCCTTAAAGAGGCCGGAGTTCATCTGAATACATACATCTACCAATTCATGTCTTTTTGGGTGGACTATGAGCAGGACTTCTCCTTGCTTGTCTCCGGGAAACCACACACACTGTCTACCTGTGCACAGTACCTGTGCAAGCATCTACCAGCCCTGTAGATGGAAGGAGACCATCTTCTAGTTTCCCGTCAAAGCTCTTGGAGGAGAAGGGCGCTCCACAAAGTGCTGACCCTGTGCCTACCGCATTTCCACTGAGACACAGTTGCCCCCACTTCTAGTTGCTGTTTTCAATAGCACAGTGAATGCTGAAACAAACGGACTTGTGTAGGGAAAGAAGGGCTGTGTGAAGATTTCACCGGAGTTGCTAAAATACCAGAGATAAGCTTTTTTGTGCAGCATTCATACATCTGCTTTGCCACGACCAGAAGAGCATTTGAATTTGCTCTAAGTGCATTCAGGGTCCTCTAAAGATTGTCCTTGTCCACATATGCCACTTGTATCAGCATCCCCACAAACATCACCAGTAGCCGTTCTTGGGGGCCTTGGATAATCTGCCACTCACAGTGCATCTTCTATCATCTCTGTCCCTGATCCGTAGATAATGTCTCCCTTGGAGCAGCCTTACCTATAACCAAGGACAAGATGCAGCAACCTCACCCCCCAAAAATCAGTGACAGCTCCAATGAGGGACACTCTTGCTAATGTCCTTGGCAAAGGAAGTGACACTTGTGACCATCTATCTACTCTAAGCACTTTCCTCCTCACTTCTTCATGGAAAACTTCAAACATACACAGAAGCAAAGGGAACAATGCTAATGAGTCTCTGGCCTCAATCCATCACTTCTAGCCCTTTCTCCTCCCTGCCACCTCTGCTTTCCCTACATTTTAAAATGTTTGTGTGCACTTACCTTCTCCTTAAAGAAGTCGTGAAACTAAAAAAGTAGTTGTGGAAGAGAGAGCGGGTGAACAGAAATGGAGGGTGCGAAGGAGTGGCTCATGGGTTCCCTGCTGTCATATTTATTCTCATGCCCTCCTGATCAGGGGCTGAGGACTCTCCTGCTGTGGCCGAGCGTGAAGGAGGAATGCAGTCTGCTGGTGACAGCTCTATCTTCTAGTTTAAAGCCTCGGCACCTCTGTAGCTGGGAGAGAAAGTACTGGGGGCAAGCCTCAGTCTTCAAACTTCTGATCTCAAGAGTCCAGGGTTAGACCAGATTTCTCAAAAACAGCTAGAATGGGCTTTGAAATAAAGTGTGTTATAGTGTAGGGAGTAAAGCTGAGAAGGAAAAGGCAATTAGAAGAGCAAGTCAGTGTTTTCAGATGTTCAGTGTGTAAAGAGCCAGAGGCAGAGGTGTTGAAGAGCTTAATGAAAAAATTTAGAGAATTTGAAACCCACAGGGCTGTCCCACTGAATAGTATTACATATATCAAACATATAGCAAATGCGGTCTAAGGGTTGTGGACAAGTTAGGATTTCTACCAAATGCAAGCATGACTTGATGGATGTTTTCTTGGAGCAGGTAGTCTAAAGTTGGGAGAAAATTAAAACACACCAGGACTTCTAAAGTGGAGGTGCAGAAGGTCTAGAGAGAGAGGTGACTTTGGTGACAAGTGCTCACTGGAATGTAGAAGAGGAAATGCTCACGCTGTGCCCACAAGTCAGGAGATGTGTGGGGTACTGGAAGCCAGAGAACAGCCATTGAAAACCTGAACATACAGATGCTCTGAGGAATGACTGGAAAACTTGGTTGTGGGGGAAAACATTGAGAGCATGCAATTAAATAGGGCTATCTGTTAAGGAGTAAAACCATCCACAAAGAAATGTGGGGTTTTTTGTTTGTTTGTTTGTTTGTTTGTTTGTTTGTTTGTTTTTGATGTTTTAGTGGTATAAGCACCATTACTAAGACCTGGCAAATGGGATCTTGGTTTCCTTAATTGTGGTGGGCAGCACTGTCGGGGATTCATTCTGATAGCAGATGGTAGGACCTGCTGTCATGGAGACAGTACATATGAGACCAAATCATCTCACAAACAGACAAGGAAGTTTCATTTATGGGCACTTGAACCAAAGAAACCCAGGAATGGCCAGAGGTGGCCCAGCTGCTCTTTTGAACAAAGAAACGGAAAGCTTTTAGTTGATTTAAGAGTGAGGCTAAAATTTGATAATTGTCCGGTGGTCGTGGGCATATTTTCAAAGGGTTTGGTTTGGTATGTGTGTGAGTGCATGCGTGTGTGTGTGTGTGTGTGTGTGTGTGTGTGTGTGTGTGTGTGTGTAGGTATAGCATGCTGACCTTAGGGTTGTAAGCTTCTGTGCAACGCCTTCACCTAGAACTTTGGAGTCCCTTCTGTTGGTAGTGTGGGCACCTTACAGGGACACCCTTATAATGCCGGACAGGACTATAGGACGTTCAGTGCTTGTGTCCAGGACTACAGGTACCGCTGAGTCCCTGAGTCCCCTCTGTTGCCAGTGTAGCCATCTTGCATAAATGTGCTGGTCTGGACCTTGCCATATGACTGAGCAACTGTAGGTATCTGAGCTGAGAAAGAACACGTGTAGAAGAAGCAAGTGCCAGATCCAATAGGGGAGCAGACTAAGCTCCCTCTGTGTGGAAATGGGTGACTTGTTTCTTAGATGCACAGCAGGCTGCAGCTTGTTGCTGGCGTGGCCCAGCACACTGTTTGCAGGCCACTTTCCCTG